CTTATCTGTAAGTAGTTTAGTTATCAAGGAGTCTTCCTACAAGGGAGGACTCTTACCTCTTGTAATCTCCTATTTAAGGAGCTGAAATTATTGAATAAAGATATCAAATTTCCAGTCAAGAAAGAGAGTAAAAGGAGAGTTCAGTGATCTCTTGGACAAATCACCCTCTAGGACGCCAAGATAGGTTCAGCTAGGAAAGGGAGGAATAAGGGAAAATAGGAGCTTTTCCCCGTGGACCAACCCGTGACGCAATCCTATTCCCGGGCCCATAACACATCCACTACCAAGTCTAGTCTGCACAGGCACAGTGATGTCTAGGGATACAAGCTCATTACATGCTATCAGAGAACTAGTTATATCACAAGCAGGTGCAAACACCTATATAGCACTTTTTGCCTAGGCACCTAATGGCCATATAAATTAGATGGCTTAATTTTCTGTCAAATTTTGATTAATTCAGTTTTGTCAAATTACAAAAGTGAGGAAGGGGGGGGCACAAGCATCCACTGATAGCTAAATTTGTACTGGTTGACCTACCAAAAGATCATAACTAAGCATTGTAATTTGTAGCTAATTGGTTATTGGCTCTCTCTGAGAATCGTTAGTAGATTAACCTCTAAGATGGCAATACAGATGTGCTTACATTTTTTTTCAATAAAACACTTACAGTTAGATTATTTGATTGCTGATTTGAAAGAACCCATTTGATATTTTAGTCATTAGATTGAAAGTTCCTCACCAAATTACAGTACTATTAAAAAAAAACTAATGCCCAATTTTCTCAAATCATTGTAGGTTTGAAATTCCATCTAAACTTTCTTTTTTCATTATCTTTTGCAAGACCCCATTTGATGTTTTGGCAATTATATATTGAAAGTTCTTCAGCCCATTCATCTAAAAATGTATTCACAGAATAAGTCAAAGATCTCACTTCCCTAAAATAATTAATATAGAATCAAGATACAGAATTTTCTGTCATTTAATAAAATCTTTATTTATGTTACTGATTAAAAATATCACCCTTATGATCATGGAATGCCCCTCCCATATGGTGATGTGTGACTTGAATTAGGAAGAAACACTTAAGAAGTATTTTAGGAAGATAGCTATGATGCTTGGTCTGCTCAGTGCAATCAAATATCATTTTTTTTGGCACCAAACATCCCCTGAAAATGACATTTTTAGGGTCATGGAGCATCCGAATGTTTGTTACAACTGTTCCATGTACCAGGGTTTCCCTTGAATATCACTCTGTGGCCTCTTGCTCTAAGAAATTTCTGTTGTTTTCAACATTTTGAGTGTGACCCATTTAATATGGAACCCCTATATCACTAGCAATTAAAAATTGTTAGCAAGCATGTGCAGTAATATAGCGAATTAGGAAAACACAACAGCTACAAGAAGGATGATAAATGATAAAACGAGTTGTAAAGGAAGTTGGATGGAGCCAGGTTGAGATGAATGCGTCTGATGATATTTCTTCATTGGAGATCAGTCGAACGATTGATTAGTTATTATTTATAAGAAGGTAGAGGAGTTAAATGTCGAACTTAAAGAACTTTGACATATTTCAGAAATAAAGGTGGTGATGCATGACTTGAACTAGGAAGAGAGAGCAATTAAGAAGTATATTGTGAGGGTTGGATCATGCTTGGCTTTCTTAGTACAATCAAATGTCATTGAAGAACAAATGATGATAATGATGGCTACCCTCACTTAGGTGGGATGAAGCCGAATGAGGGCTTATAGTGTTTGACATTCCATAATGTAATATGTGGAAGTTCATTTTCCGTCTCCAGATCATACAGTTTTACTTGGATTTAAACCTATGACTGTTAAATTGATGCATTTCTAAATTTAGGTTTGATAATAATATCTTGAACTTATTTTTATTATTTCTTCTTGATTAGGTCTTACTTTTTACTAAGGATCTAAGCACGCATTGGTTCTTGAATGTTACAGGGTATGATATTGGATTTCATTAGATATAGAGAGAGGCAACCACAAATTGTGAACCTACATGGAAGGTTATTTTGCGCATACCAGTGAAATAGACTACAAGACTTCAAACAAAGTACCACCTAGATAAAAAAACTATCAGACTTCACAAACCATATGTTGATGTCTGCACTCGAAAATGGTGCCTTGGTGGTCTGGCCATCTGCAGTGGAAAAAAGGGGAAAGAAAAAAAACGTGAGAGAGAGGGGAGAGGAAGAAGAAGAGGAAGGGGGAGAGAGAGAGAGATCCATGACAAATTACCTGGCCAGAGTAGCTCAAGTCGGATCTTCAGAGTTCGGCTGCGAACTGCAGAAGGGATTGGAGGGAGTGACGAGAGAAGAGAAAGAGGGTTTGAAACCTGAAAGGCTGGAATCGGGGGGTTTGAGGGGTTTTTTTGTCATTTTCATTTTTTTTGTTTTAACCGGCTGGAATGGGAATCCGATTCCGAGGGGGTGGGCCGGGAATGGCTATTCCCTCAAATGGGGGAATGCCATTCCGCCTGAAATGAGAATCGGATTCCGATTCCAACCAACCAAACGGCTGGAATCGGAATGATCTATTTGAATTTCGATTCCGGACCTCTATTCCTGCGAACCAAACATACCCTTACTCTCTATTTCATTTTTCTTTTGTTTAACTTGACTCTTCCAAACCCTCCCCGTTTGCCATCCCTACACTTCAAACCTTTTTCACAAAATGTATGCATAAAAATCCATTTAAAATTGATGAAGTCTCTCTCCTCTTGTATTGAAAAATTTTCTTATTCAACCGAGGTTCAATCTTAGAGGCAGAGGCCCTGATTGTCGCACGTTCTTTCAATGCCCAGTCTAGACGTTGTATCGGGATCGTTCCAATAAAACCCAACTAACTGTAGAAGTTGTACTGTAACGGCTTTTCAGATCACATGGGTGTTGGCCATACCCCAACGGTCAAAAAAAAAGGTAGAGGTTAGAAGGAAATAATATATGTACTAGCGGAGAGTACAAGGGCAAGTGGAAGGTAAAATATTAAAAAAAAAAAAAAACGTATAAATAAGGGTGGGAAAAAATAATAATTTGAATAAAATCATAAAATAGTCTACTTGTTTAGTCATACTGTCAACCACGTATGTAGTATAAATAGTGATTCAAAATTTCAGAATGTAGAGCTCTTAAGTTTATGAGTTTAATTAACTATTCAAGCTGTGTTTGTCGTAATTAAAATACATGCTAGAAAATTCATTGCACAGCTGTGTCGACACGTGGGCTGAAAGCTAAGTTCTATACCTTCCAAGAATAACATAGCCTTCCAAAAAGGTATCCCATGCTCTCAAATGCTGCTTGGAATTGCTTAGACCATGGAAATTTACTTGGCTTTCTTTTGTGGTGAACTACTTTCTCCAATGTATAATTTCCTACGAACACCTACAAAAAGTTTAAGCTCTATTAGAAATGAAGAGAAATGATTGGTAACTTGTGTAATTGTATTTACCTTGTAGAGAGAATGATGTTGGGTTGGAAGTGTGGTGGTTGTAGGTGAATCTACATATAAAGAATAGTTAATGAGATAGTTTATATATGAGTATTATTGGATCAAAATTGAAATGAAATTATTTGAGAAAAAGTTATATTTGTTTGTTTTTTTATATTTTATAAAAGCTTCTTACTGATCAGCCGAAGTTGTGAACTTTCTTCAAGAGATGTAAAATACAAGAAACATATAGTATAAAGGTAAAGAATTCCAAATATATTGGATTGAATAACATTAATCCCCTTTTTAGAAGATCTCTATAGCTTGCAAATTGACACTACTTTAGAAAATAGAAGACTGGCTGGAAGAAAATCTGGGCAATTTACTGTAAAATCTTTCTACAACAAATTAACCCCCAGAAGAAGAGGCAGGATTTTCCCATGGGCATAATCTGGTGCAAATATATTACCTCAAAGGTAGCTTTCTTCGTCTGGTCTGCCTATCTGAATAAGATACTCGCTAAGGACAACCTGTTAATTAGAGGAATGATGTTTGATTCGGGTGAAAGTTGTAAAGATATTTACTCTCAAGGGATGTTGTCCAGCATCTATTGAAACCATTTTGAAAGGCTGACAGATCAAAGGACTGAGTAAGAAAGGAAATGCAATTTGGAAAATGATTCCATAAGCAATGTTCTGGGTTGTATGACAAGAAAGGAATGCAAGGATTGGTCAAGGGTTCAAAGCATAGATGCATTGAAAGAGGGGGGTTTTCCTAAATCTGCTACTGTCCATATCATTATCTCTATCCTGATGTTTCCAGTTTAATATTACCCATCTAGCTGCATCATGAACTGCTGCCTTTTGGCAATAAAATTATAATTAAAAAATGAATAGCATGTTCAAAAGAATGCGATGGGTTAGGTATGGGCTTTTTTTGGCCAGTAACAACATTTCTTTTGGTGTACCACTAAGAAATTTTAAGCAACTAAAATAGTACATTTTTGAAAATCACAATCTTGGACAGAGATCATGTGGGTTTACCCAAGCTATAGTACAAGTGGAATCAATATCTATGTGCTGGGACCTTAGCAATGCTTTGGGAGCAGCAATTGATGTTGTCTTTGTGTTGGCGGCATGTTAAGGTGGAGGGAGACTTGCAGAATGTCGTAGGGTGGATGAGAGATGGTGTTGAAGAGCTCTGGTATTTACTTAATCACATTAGAGAGGCCACATCTTTAGCAGCCAGAGTGAAATATCATTGATCTGGGTGCTTGGATCAGCCAACTTCCTGGATGATCCATCAGTGAGGAGTTGAGAGATTAGAGTTATACTGGGGCCCTACTCCTAGAGTAGTTTGTATAGGTTCTCGTGTTTTGTTTATTGCTTAATTCTGTTTTTGATGGTATCCTCTTCTAGGCCTGTTTTTGCCTTCTGTGCTATTGAGGGAGGTTTATATACTTATTTTATCTTATCTGTTTCAGTTATCTATTGAACAAAATCAATAATAAATAACTAATCACTTAATGTGTGAAACTTCAAAGAAGTTTAAAGATCTGTAACATCTACTGTGGATTCACGCGTGAAGACCAAGGTACACCACGCAGTGCAGTCTAAGACCAAGGTACACCACACGTGAAGACCAAGGTACACCACGCGTGAAGACCTGGCAAGTTTTGGATCACCCATATCACTGCTAATGTCCCCATGCAGAAGAATAACAGGAAAGAGGGAGAGCGATCAAAGAGAGAAAGAGAAAGAGATAGAAAGTAAAAGTATAGGCCGAGGGAGAAAGTAACGACAAAGCAACCGTCAGGTCGTGACAGAGAGTGGAGGCAGGCAGGCATAGAACGAGAGAAAGAGGAAGAAGAAGAGTTCTCTGAGTCCGGACAAAATGGGTTAGGATGTAGTAGGCACGTTAGGCAAGCACAACGAGTGAGCACCAAATAACTGTGTGACATCCATTAGGCGGATTTTAATTTTTGACAAATATTAAAATCATTCAGAGTCCTGACGCCCATTAACTTTTAACTCGTTAGTGTCTGTTAGTCTTAAAATTATATAAGTGATGAAATGAATTCTAATTGGCCGATGCAGACCGATGCAGAAAACTTTATACAAAGTGGATGATGTGAGCTCAACAAAAACAGAGTTCAAGAACTGCGCAAGGATAACAAACACAACCTCTATCTTTGGACTGTTAACTCCATGCACAATTTGTATTCCAAACACGATGAATTGATCCCTTATAATCGAACTTTTAATAATAATCGAAAAAAAAAAAATGTTTTTCTAGGAAACTAGGACACCAATGAAGGAGATGACAAAAGGGGAAAGAGGGAAAGGAAAGAAAAAGATGACCAAGAAATTAAATTAAGCTATTAGGAGCAAGACAAGAAAAACTTCACCAATCGTTAATCACTTTATTAACTATTTAATAACTATCCGTATTCATAGATGTTACTTAGAGAAGGACCAGGGGGAACTGCTACCTCTGCATTCCCTTCCAACACCATGACCACCTCTTCATGGAGGGACGAATTGATGGCTCATCTTGGATGCACCACAGTCCCAGCCAAATCATCCTCTCTAAACTTCTCGTATCCACCACTTCATCACCTACCAGCATCCCTACCTCACCAGCTTCGAAACAGTCATAAACCCAATCCACAACAACTTGATCCTCGGGAAGATTCACGTCGACACTCCTTCGGCAGCAGATTATCTCCAGCAACACAACCCCGAAGCCATAAATGTCCACCTTCACAGTTATAGGCATGTTAATTCGATGCCACTATGGTGCCACATAGCCCCTTGTGCCCTTTATGCCTGTCAATATCCCTGTTTGGTCTTGCTTCAACAGCCTTGCCAATCCAAAGTCTGCAATCTTTGGGCATTGATGGTGGCCCATGAGTATGTTCTGTGGCTTTATGTCGCAGTCGATAATCTGAGTCTCGCATTCTTCGTGTAGATACAGGATACCTTTGGCTATATTCAAAGCAATTCCCACTCTTTCATCCTGATGAAGGGTGATTTGGCCTGACCTCCTAACAGAGTGACACGTGTGCATGACTCATCATGAACGAAAGCTCGGTAGGGGCGAATCGTCACATAGACGCGATAACGTAGGCGACAGCTCAGCAATGCCAGCCGGCCGCAAGACGAGCTCGGGATAAAATCACTTCGACACACCGCCAACAGTCAAGACAGTTGTCTCGCCACTAACAGCTCGTTACAAGGTAGTTCGCTACAAGGCAGCTCGACATCCTGCGAGAAGCAACCTGCCTAACAAGACCATACTTGCCAGCCCTGAGGACTATGCCCATAGCCCTCGTCTGGCGGCACAGCACCTGCCAACTCTGAGGACTGCACTCATGGTCTCTTGTCTGGTGGCGTCGTGCCTGCCAACCCCAGAGGTTGTCTCCTGCCTGGTGGGACCGTACCCTACAACGGTCACATTGGCTCACCTACCCCCCATTCCTGACGATAGCAGCCAATCACTTCGAGGCATTACCTGGCAACAGATCACCGCATTAGAGATTTGGGATCAGCCCCTCCAAGCTTGTAAGAACGTTAGTACATAAAGCTCTCAACGCCCCAGGGGCCAAGGTATTGCATATTCACCACTCTCTAGCTTTCTCATCTTCTTAAAAACTCACTCTCTTCCAAGCTCACACCCGAGTACTAACTTAATCATCGGAGTGTTCCCGCCGGGTGAGCAACCCCGGGTTCCTTCATCTCTTTACGCAGGTATCTCTAGCCTGACGCTAGCTAGGAGCGCAATCACTTCCAGATAGGAGTGGTCAGATTGTGCATCATCAATTGGCGTCGTCTGTGGGAATCATTTCGAAAAGCTTTCTATACCAAACTTTCACCAGCATCAATGGCGTCTTCTAGCAACGCCGGGCAGAACAACGGAACAAACACCCCCTGGGAGCACCTTCAGGCTCCCACCATGTGTATCGGTCATTTTACTGTACCCCTCAATACCTTCGGTGTCCCCACGTTGGACCTACCCCAGGTCGCCAAGGCGGTGAACACCCCATTCCTTCCTGCGGTGAACACCACCTTCACTGAACCCCCCACGGTCCCTTCTGCCATGGGGCAAAACCAACTGGGTGACCTAGTGCAGTGTGTGCAGGCCATTTAGGCCCAAATGCAGCAAGTCCATCAGCTCCAACACTACCAACAACAAGTCCTGTGTCACTTCTATCAGCAGCAATTCCCGACGCTATAGCAAAGCCAACAGCCGGCCCCGTCGTGGTACCCGATAACGCCGCAGAACCAGCATCCGCTCAACCACTGCCGAAGTAGCCGCCCTCCCCGCAAAGAAAGAACCTCCCAAGCCTCATCCCGCAGCAGGAGAGAGCCGATAGCTCCCGCCGCCTCGTAGCAACAAGGCCAATCGGAAGACACTCACCCCACCAAGACCAGTCTGTCCCAGCGTGCATGACCTGAGGCCTCACTGACGGGCAACCGGTTTGAAGTCCTGGCGGCAAACTCAGAGCGAGACTCTTCGGTTCGCGAAAGCCAGTATCAGCTAGATTCTCGCCGGGCCAAGACCCGGCCTGATAGCACCGAAGCAACCAGCACCAACACGGATTCTACCAAGAAGCAGCGGAGGTGATGTCCCAGGGCACGCCGCGCCATAATTCCTGAACATCTCGCGAAGCCTAGCCAACCGGAGCAACCCAAGGGTAAGACGGGAGCGAGCCCAAGAATCGCAAAGACCGCGCCTCTCCTCTTGGTACCATCTCCTCTCTCTCCCGACCTCCTAGCAGCTCCTATGCCAAAAGGCTTTAAAGTACCTCCTCTGGACAAGTACGATGGGTCGTTCGACCCAAATGACCATGTGAACTCCTTACAGTCCCAGATGCACCTCGCCAGAGCGAGTGAAGCCTGCATGTGTGTCGCCTTCTCCCCTACCTTCAGAGGGGTAGCGCGCACGTGGTATAGGAACATCCCACTCGGAGCCATCCAGGGCTGGGCGCAATTCGTGCAAGCATTCACCTCGCACTTCGTCACCAGCAAGAAGTGTCTGAGGTCGTAGGAAAGCCTTCTTAACATAGTCCAGAAAGAAGGAGAGTCCATTCGAAGTTATATCAAGCGCTTCAACGACACCGGCCTCTCGATCCCGAACTTGGACCCCGTAGTAAGACTCGCCGCAGCCAAGAGAGGAGTCATCCACCGGGAGTTCAAATGGCACATAGTGGCGAACAAGCCCAAGGACATCACCGCTTTCCTCAAGCTCACTAACCAATTCATCGAGATTGAAGAGGAAATGAACGAAAAAAGGTTGGGGCTCCAGTGGAAAAGAGGAGGAGGGATGATGACAAGGCACACCATGGAAGCGGTAAGAGGAAGAAGAGTAAGCCCCCGACCCGGGGAGACGGCAAGTCAGGTTGGCACCCCCGAACTCCTCCAGTTGAGAGGACGAATTACACCCCCTCAATGCGAGGCGAGGGGAAATTTTAATGATGATTAAAGATGCTCCATTTGTAAGGTGGCCACCCCAGATGAAGGGGGACCCCGTCACCAAGAATAAGAATGTATATTGCCATTTCCATAAAGATCACGGTCACAGTACCGAGAATTGTAAAAGCCTCCGCAACGAGATTGAGGAACTCATCCATCATGGATACCTGAAAAATTTTATACAAAAAAGTAATAAAAATCATACAAGTCAACAGGGGGAGTAGAGGAGAGATGCTCCCAAATCCAGTAATAGACAAGCTAAGCAGGAAAGTGCAACCGAAGAAAGGCCAGTCTGCGAGGTGATTAACACAATTACTGGCGGGTCCATCGTCGCAAGCTGGACCTCGGCAACAGGGAGGACCGCGGTTCGCGAACTGGAGCATGAAGGACAGAACCCGCCGAAGCACCCACGGTTTGCGGACCCCATATCTTTTACCGAGGACAATGCATGAGGAGTCCAGTACCCCCACGATGACGCACTTGTCATAAGAATGTAGATCAACGACTTTGAAGTCAGGTGCGTCTTGGTGGATTCGGGAAGTTCAGCTGACATCCTGTTCAAGAGCACCTTCGACAAGCTACAGCTCTGGGAGAGCGACCTCCAGCCCGCAACAACCCCTCTAGTGGGCTTCAGTGGGGAAGAAGTTAGGCCCCTTGGCCGGATCTTGTTGTCTATAGAGGTCGGGACGTGGCCTAGTATAGCAAGGTTTGAGCACGCCTTCCTAGTGGTTGCAACACCTTCCCCATACAATGCCATCATAGAGCTGCCCATCACCCACGTGCTTCGCGCGGTGGTGTCCACCTACTACCTGACAATGAAGTTCCCTACGGACTTCGGGATAGGAGTAGCCCGGGGTGAGTAGCTCGAGTCCCGGAAGTGTTACGTCGCAGCCCTCAAGGGGAAAGCCAAGCTAGCAGAGAGGGTTGAACTCGAACAGCCCATAGAATACCCAGAAGAGCGAGCTACACCAACCGAGGGAATGGCCCTCATCCAGACTTCGGAAGAAGACCCAACTAGGACCCTCCAGAACGGGGCAACAGTCGGAGAGCCTCTTCGAACCCAACTAGTAAGCTTCTTACTCAAAAATTTAGATATATTTGCATGGTATGTGGCAGAAATGCCCGGCATAGACTAAAAAATAATAACTCACAAGCTAAACACTGATCCCATAGTTAGGCCCATTAGACAAAAGAAACGCAACCTCGCCCTGGAACGCTAGAGGATAGTCGACGAGGAGGTCGGAAAACTTCTCGTGGCCAATTTCATCAGGGAGGTCCACTACCCAAGCTGGGTGGCCAACCCCGTTCTGGTAAAGAAGGCCAACAGAAAATGGCGCATGTGCGTCGACTATACCGACCTGAATCGAGCTTGCCCGAAAGATTGTTTCTTGCTCCCCAAAATTGACCGTCTGGTGGACACGACTTCGGGGCACGAGTTGCTAAGCTTCCTGAATGCGTATTCGGTCTACAACCAAATTAAGATGGATCCCACCGATGAAGAAAAAATAGCCTTCATTACCGAACTGGGCAAATCCTGAGGCAAATCCTGCTCAAGCCTGAGGTATCCAGAAGATTGACGAAGTGGGCCATAGAGCTCAGCGAGTACAACATCAGGTACGAACCCCGAACAGTGGTTAAGGCCCAAGCCTTGGCCAACTTCGTGGTAGAGTGCACTTTCAGTGCTGTAGCCTCCGAACTGATGAAGACCGAGCCCGTGAAGGAAGCCTCAACTAGCACGGAACCAGTCCTGATTAGAACAAAGTCGACCTGGGACGAGGAGCCCTAGATCCTTCACGTAGATGGATCATCGAACCAACAAGGAAGCGGAGCCAAAATCATCCTATACGACCCAGGCAGAGCAAAACTGGAGCAAGCACTCCGGTTCGAGTTCGCAGCATCCAACAATGAGGCGGAATACGAAGCACTGGTAGCTGGCTGCATGTTAGCAAACAAAGTACAAGAGAAGCACCTCGTCATCTACAGCGACTCACAGCTCGTGGTCAACCAAGTAATCGGCGATTACGAAGCTCGTGACCCCACCATGGCCGCTTATCTAGCCAAGGCCAGGGAAGCTCTGCGCGGCTTCCAATCGTACTTCATCAAGCAAATTCCAAGATCTGAGAACGCTGAGGCTGATGCATTATCCAGGTTATCCAGCACAAGTAGCAACTCCATGAGGGCCGTGTTTATAGAGAACCTGCCTTGGCCTAGCATTCTCGGAGGGCAGAGAAGGTAGCTCCCATTGCGTAAGCGGAGCCGAGCTGGATTGACCCACTCGCGAACTACCTACTACACGGGACCCTCCCCTCAGATCGCAACGCAGCTAGAAGGGTAGAGCAACAGGCAGCCAAGTACGTCATTATAGACGGGCGGCTATATCGAAGATCCTACACGCTCCCCTACTTGCGTTGCTTACGACCCTCGGAGGCCGAGCTCGTTCTCCGCGACACTCATGAAGGGCTGTGCGGCAGACACTTGGGGGGCAGGGCCCTCACCCAGAAAGCGTTACGGCAAGGATATTACTGGCCCACGATGAAAGCAGAT